CAAACAAAATCCCCAAAATGATTACTAACCCTCCAGAAAAGGGAGAATGAAGTTTATTTTATTGAAATTATCCAGGTAGTTATGTTTGTCCCATTTAGATAACACTCCCCTTGACAAACCAGCTTTCTAAACTTTGGAAGTTGATGCTGCTTTCCTGGTTGTCCCATATTTGTAAAGCCTAATAATACTTACGGGCCACCAAGTTAAAGTTTTACCGATAAAACGACATGACATACACAAAAATATTCCGAAAAGAAGGGCGTCAGGAAATTTTAGGACTGAACACTGAACGAGGACAAAATTCCAAAAAGTGATACTACTGTCACTTTGGCACATCACCAGATTCGCCTCTGTAAACACATTGACCATACTGTGAAAAGTGCAGTAAATTTAGGAATATCTACCACAAAAACACAAATACTGTCCAGTTGGCTATCTATTAGCCTTCAAGCATTTTCAAAACTCTAAGCGTCTTTGAGATGTTCCACACTGCTTTTGTTTCTGTTGCTGTGAACAGATGTGACGCAGTGCCCAGTTATCCGGAAGTCGAGCTGCATAAGATGTCTTGTATCCGTCGTTAAAATTTATTGAGCGGAAGGCAGTTGTGGCAACATTGTGCTTTTTTGCAAGTTACCATAGCACTCATAGTGATTTATAAAAGCGACTTGCTAAGTAATGAAGTCCAGGTGAAGAAAGTGCTGTAAAATATCTGTAAAAAAATAACTAACATTCATGGCCGGAATTACTTTTTTTCCACTTAGGCGCTTATTATCCAAACCGACTTGCTATCTCCAGCAGCCCGGAAGGCGTATCTGATTCGGCCGCCAATGCTGCAGCTACCATCGCGGCTGCAGCGCTGGTTTCCAGACAGCAGCAACAGCAACAGCAACAACAGCAGCAATACCTCTCACAACACCTTCTCGGTCCCGGCCCAGCCATTGTATCATTGGCCTACGCATCCCGTGAGTGCGCGTCTATTGTTGCTTTTTTTCGCCGCTAGGTTTCTCACGCATAGACTAGGCTCATAACACACATTTTCGGTTAATATTTACCGACTGTTTGAAAAATCACAAAGTACTTCTACAAATTTATCATTTGACAGTAATGTTAATTTCGTATAATAATTTACATCAATTTAAGGTAACTTTATTTTCTCAAACAACATTACAAATATTTTGCAAGACAAGTTGAAAATAAAAGTCAGTTGAGCCCAAAAATAGTAACTTTCCAAAACAATCAAACCTCAACAAACCGGTAGTACATTAGTAAGAACAAAGCTTTCACCAGAACTTAGCACACGCGGCCATAATAACAGCTCAAAACGTCATTGAATGTTGCGGACTTGATAATTGTGGGCTCGTTGAATAATAATCTGAAGGGACATTTGTGGAAAGAAATGATTCAGATTCAAAATAAAACTCTGCTATCTGTTCGGGACAACTCATAATAAAACAACTTGTAAACGCTGGATTTGTAAACGGGGTCTAGTTTATTTGAGTAACAAGGCGTGCAAAGATTAATAGGGGAGGACATTCTTGGTCAAGAAACGCTCAATTTTTATTCTTGAATAAGGTTAACCCAACGCAAATGTTTGATATAACGAATAAATGCATACATAATGGTTTGAGGCGAAGAAGAGTTTTTTACGGCAATATATATATATATATATATATATCGTACATGTGACATGCTCTCTTTAAGCTAGTCAAATTATGGCCACCACATCCGGGAACTCCCAACTTTCAACACAGAGGACCCTATGCTTCCTCGAGGATCAAACTTCCCTACCAGCAAAGACTGGAATGCAAAATTCTTGTTTTGGAGTTCCCTCAATGAAAAGATCAAGTAGACACTCGACAAGTCATTCCTGGACGGGGTTTCTCAGCTACACGGATCTTAAATTGTACAGATATACATCAAGTTATAATATTTAATAGAGGAGCTTACTGCCTTGGACTAAGCACAGTGGCTCCTTTGCCACCAACCCCAACCCCCCCAAACAAACCAATAATGATAAACTCCTTGAAGTTTCAAGGTCAGCCACGTAACACGTAAACGATAAGTTGGACATGAATAAAGAGTTCACCGAAATTAGAAACCTAACTATGAGGTAGTATTCTTCCTCAAGGAGGCAATGGGATGGGACAGAAAAACAGTGAATCCAGCAGGAAAAAAACAGATGCACGAAATTTTGTATTGGAGTTGAGGGAACTTAAAACGTCCCAAGTCCACATACCTGCTAAATCTTGCCCGCAACTCGGTTAGCCCACATATGTCCGTTAGTATATCCTTTTCGTCATGTCTATGGTAGGGTCCAAGTCTTGATGTTTAAAATGACTTTACCGAAGTCCGGTAACTTTTTTTCAAACATGAACGCAATAGGCATCTTTGAATCCCGTTCTTAGCCTTTTTTGCGTCTGTGGCCATTCGGAAAAGAATTACTACCTCATAGTTGTGTCACCGAAACAGGTTTATACGTGTGATGGACCCTCCACAAATGATCAGGAGACTATTTGAAACCTGCAATAACTACGCCCAAGACATGTTAGCTTATGGAATTGGTGCTCTTTCGATGATGGCCATAATATAAATCAGAAGGTATATGCACTAATAAAAGTTTTTAGCATGGTTGACAGAGGTGGATTGCAACACGCATAAAAATAAATACAATCCGAAATGGGAGCTAGTCAAAAGAGGAACTTATCGTCTGTGAGAGTTCCTTGGTGAAAGTCTGGACGGCGGGAACGTGTTTTCTCCGCAGTACGACTGCTACACGTGTTCCACATTTGTCCGTGGACCCGTGGAGAGTGGTTGACTTCCTGCTCTCTACGCGCGCGCGAGTCTGTGTGTTGTGTTTTCGGTTTCCCTATCTGTAGGTTCGCTTGAGTGTACGTGGGCATGTCAGCACCTTGAGTAATTGCTACACTCACTAGACGGTGCAGACAATCGACGTCCGATGAGTCACCTTAATGTCACGTGCTTTGTGGGTATGAAAAAAGACAGGTCTCGTGATCCAGTGGGCGACTGTGAGCTGAACAGTCAAGTATGTGGGTGACTGGGTAGCTACAATGGACAACCTCCCTCTATCCAACTCCACCTCCAGCCTTATCAGCTACCTAAATGCATAGCTGTCATTGCCTCAATCTCCCCATCCTCGGCCGACGAAAACTGCAGTGTCTGGAACCACTCCAAACTGGCACATTGTTTATGATTGAATTACGAATTGAATGTCCGATAGAAGGCAATTGGTCTACTGTCCAGGTATCAACCTTTATCTATAAGTAGGGCAGATGAGCGATTGGAAATAAGTAAGTTGTCCTCTGTTATTCTAGGGTAGACAGAACCTGAAGTAGGTGAGGTTTTTCTTTGTCTTCTGTATAACCTCAGAATCAGACATCTAAATTTTTAAGTCAGGGAATAAACGAGCCATATGATAGAAAGTTCAAACCCGAATCTACCGCTGATTTTTTTATCGCTGACCGGTAGCGTAAGGAACATTGTTTACCATGGCTCCAGTCAATCCGTGAGGTTAGTTTGACTGTGGAAGAAGAAATCCTGCTAAAGTTCAACTTCGTGCGACCGCTAATTAGGTCTTCCTGCTTAGTTCTCTAACAAGTGAGAACGGGCGCAGGTTTTGTGGTTTATCTCGGCACATCTCGCAACAGCTTCATTTTCCCAATATGCTTGGCGTCAACCCCCCACCAGGGCTTCTCCGAAAGCAACATACAAAAGTGCTGACTTTCGACAAATGCACTCATTTGCATACCACTTTGGTATTCAGTAGCCTTATGAGAATTATGTTAAGTCTATGCAATCTATTGCGATATTTCGAATGCCATATCAACTGAAACATGAGGTATGTAAGTGGATTTACTTGTCAGTCTAGCTTTCAGTAGAAAAGGTTGACGGAAACTCGGGGATCGTGCCTAACTGATAAACTTCAACATGGGTGAAACCGGTGATGGGCGTTCGAAGAGTTTTCAGTAACTTTACTAGTGCTGTGTTACGTCCATAAAAAGACACATATCTTTGCCGAAATATTGATCGGAGATTACTGCACACTGACACCTTCTGATATTTCGAACTGAATACGGTACGACTGACGTTCTCAGCACGTAAGTTGTGCGAAAAATGACAGGAACAGAACCAAACGTTATAAGATTTGTTCACAGACTTCATGAAAACCTTCAACTCAGTAGACAGGGAGACGCTGTGGATGGCTTTCCAAAAGCATACTTGTCCTGAAGAACTGTGAACACTATCAGATCCTTTCACTGTGATATGTAGATCCGAGTATGTATCCCTGAAACCACCCGTTCCGCGTTCGACATTGACACGAAAATGAAATAAGACCGCGTAGTGGCTCTAACTGTGCTTATTGTGTATCTGGATTTGATTTGCGTGGAACTGTTTCGTGATCCAGAAAGTGGCAAAGATGTATAGGCCATAGATCCATATTCCGCTTTTTTTAACGGATATTCTTTGTTCGTACATTCTGGGATGAAATAACCACACCGTCTGCTTTAACAGCATTTTGCTTTGTAATGGAACACCTATCTTTTACTGACCGGGGGTATAGCCGCGGTATAGCGTTGTGTGAAAATTCCCGGTGCCCCAGCAGTACGCTAGCCGGTGAAACGTTGATGCCATACGGGAGGCGCGTCAAAATGTGCGACAGATTTCACTTGGAATAGTTTTCCAAGCACTGTGAATTGAATGGGTATTTACTGGCTGGCATCTTCCGGTCCACGATGCGCTGGACGTCTATGAATAGCAGCTAAAACACAAGCGGTGTACTTGGAGCTGTACATGAAGCTACGTGAAATCCGTTGATGCTCATGCAAAGCCGAGGGCAGATACATCGAAACCTGGTAAGAACCATCAGCCTGTTTAAGCACGATGACATAAGAATGAGTACCAGAACTAGCTAGCTCTTACATCATGGCTCTGGCTTCATCCGTCTAGTCTTCCAGGATTCTGTGCGATACCGCACTTCTTCCGAGTATACTGTCTTAACAATGCTCTCTCGTGAATGCCCGGTACAACACCATTTAGATGGGAATGGATCGGAAGGTTGTAAGCCAGTAGTCGCATTACTATCGGTATTCTCGCTTAGTAATATGACAGCAGAGTTGAGCAGTTGTCGATTAAGCATTGGAGCAGATTCACCTTTTGCGGGCTTCAGCTGGAAATGGGTTAAGTGTACCTAAACGGTTCACTGGTGTTCCTGTGGTGGTTTAGACTGGGTACTTTTGCAACCGGCAAGTCCGATCATGCTAAGAAATTCGCCCCCTCAATTTGCAAAGATTCAGATGGCTGTCATGGCACTCGACACCCTGTGACCTTTTTAAATGACGCATCTGTGTGCGTTTTCCACACAGCCGAAAAACTAGATATGATAAAAACGATATCGGAGCGGTAGGTAACCAACCATAGGGAGAGAATTCCAACAGAAACCTTAGCAGCTCATCTGCATCTGTTCTGATTGAAACACTAAGGCCAGCCCCCCCCATAAACAATAGACGCACATCTACTTTGGGAGCGACTCCATTCATTATTCTTTAGAGATAGCGTTGTTGCATTTGTGCATATCAAAAATATCAGTATGTCATTCTCCCACGACTGATGGATGCCGAAGGGATTTTATCATCCTACAACTTATGCCATCTTTTCTAATACTGAACTAATGAAACTCAATGACTTAAATCACTCATTACAGCTCCTCACCACCAAATACCTCTTGCAGATTTATGAGCGTTAAGTGAATAAGCAATGGATTGCTTGATTTGTTCCAAGATGGCAATATCTACACAGCATTTCTGCAAGCTTTCTCTCAAGTCTTCTACACGAGTCGGTCCCTTCCAGGTACTTGAGAGAGCTGATTTAATCGTCACCATGTTCTTTGATCGTGACAATAGACACTCAGCGTATCCATAACTTATTGTACTGAAGATCGATTAGTTACTTGAAAGTTCAGTTGAAAAGATCGAACACAATCAATCGAATCGTTACAACACAGCAGTCATGAGGATTCAGTCAAGTGATGTGTGTTGTTACTATATCGCTGCAAGAGATGGGTTATGTAATGTGAATTTGAATGAATTAGAAACTATTTTTACATAAATCTTAAAGCAAGACTATTAGGCAGTGCAGAAAAGCTGAAGATAATGACTCCGAAGTGCTGGCTCAAATATAAGTAATCCGCTTGGCTGACAAAGAAGGACTGAGAAATCGAACTCTTTAGCGCGGCGTTTGGCAGTGTACAAGCTGAAGTTTGAGTGGAATTGTCACAACAGCACATCTTGTGCAATTCACCTTCATCTCGAATCTGATATTCCTGAAGGTCACTGACCAGTACGGTCTCGAACATGCGTGCAAGACACCAAGTCACGGTGTGTCCAAACAAGGCGAACCAGTTAATTCTCCTCCATTTTTACATCCGTTTACGCATCAGCACATAACATCACCACATTTTGCTACGTGCAAGCCACTTGGAGTTGATTCATTATGCATGAGTGTTCATTTGAACGGTACATCCCTGTCGGATTCTATCAAACCATCTGAGCACAAAATTAAACCTCAGCTGCCTAACTGATGCGTGCGGTGGATATGCAGGAAATCCCCCACACTGCAACGATACACTTAGTCTGTCTTGGGGCCCTTCTTCACAACATCTGCTCCCACAAAGTCATGTCTGTTTATAGTAGCCTGTAAACAGGTTCAGTTTAATAACTCTTCTATGACTTTGATTCTGAACTACCTCTGAAGTACGAAGGTGGAACACAATCTAACAACCTATAGGGCAAAATCCGAATACAGCCACCGATTACCTGAGTATGCGGTGCTTCGAAATGTACCCGCACTGCACTACCCACAACTTACTGTAGTAATGTATGCCTCTCATACACTCTGTCTCGTAAAATTGGCGTCAATACCATTCACGCTTGATTTTCAGTATCTGGGTTGGTTGGAGAGGTCTGCTCATTCGGGCCTCCGGCGGGTGATCATGCCACCTCCGGAGCAGGACCCTGTTGACCTTGCCTACTTTGTATCACGTAAACATTCTTGACATCAGAAGCGAAATTACCGAAACTCAACTGCATTCTTCCTTGGGTCCTCGTGGTTCTTGTTCCTTAGTTTGGCTTTTGTGGGGTGGAATTAACTTCTACTCTTCATGGTCTTGCTTCTCGTACATTACTGTACCAGTCACAAGCCCACTTACGCTTCTGTCCTGTCATAATGAAGATCTTCAGTGGGGAAACTGCTTCTTTCATGGATGTCTTGATCAGCAAACAGGTGCGGGTGTCGTCGTGAAAGGGTGATTGTTTGTATTGGATTGACAGCCCCACAACATCGTCGACAGTTTTCCATTCCAGCAACTCCCTCTAACCTTCCGCCTTTCCGTTGTCTCTCGAATGCTGCGTTTCGTAAAGCCATTTGTCTGTATGTGACAGGACGCTGTCCCTATCTGTTCGACTCCAAGTCATTATAAACAAACCCTGACATTCTCACTTCCGAAGTATAGCAACTGCTCGGTTAGCAACACATTTATTATCTCGTGACTTGCAACACTGTAAGGCAAAACGGCTCTTCTATCTGGTACTTTGATTCACTGTAAAAATCGTTCCATCATAACTACCAAATGACGATTTTTGCGGATCATTATCCCTATTATTCAGGTGATATCAGTGAGCACAACCCTCTTGTCTATCGCCCAGGAATAAGTCTCGTGAGATGAGCTGTTCCTGTAGAATTCCACTTTATCAGTCATCATTGCCTACAGGACGCCAGACGCTCCGCTATATCACCTGTTACTTCTAGGCAGTAACTCCTTTGCCACTGCAAGTGGCACATTGGAGATCAGCCGATATGAACCACTCCAATGCATTTACCGATCCGTTTCTCCATAAGACAGGTAGATGGACGGGGTATAGCGACTTTAGAGTCGTATTCTAGGCATCGATCGATTTTAAGTCGTCCGCACCAGAGTTCATCTCGTTGTGTTCTGAAGAAGCCTCCTGGCGTCTAACAAATTATACTATC